TTAGTCAAGCTAATCCCTCTGTGATTATCACAGGAAGACTTGTCTCCCTTCTTGTATATGGGGATAATCAGTGACTTACACCAACCCGATGGGACTTCTTCTGATTCCCAGACGCTGCCTAGTACCTCAGTTAATCCGGACAGTAAGCTGTCTCCACCGTACTTAAATACCTCTGGAGTCATTCCATCAGGTCCCGCTGCTTTGCCTAGTTTCAGATTGGTGACAGCTTTAGTAACCTCAGTTAGTGACGGAGGACCTGTGTCTATATCCCATTCAGGGAGGTGTTGGATGCTCGGAAGGTTGAGCGTGGCTGTGGGCAAATTAAACTGCTCCTCATAATGCTCTTTCCAACGATCCAGTCGTCTATCCTGGGAGCTAATTATAGTGCCATTTTTTTCCGAGATTGTCTCACTAATGATTTGTCTTCTCCCACCCGTTTCCCTGATGAGTCCAAAGAGTTGCCTGGTGTTGCCTATCCTCGAAGCTTTCTCCATCTCTTTGGCTTTTGTCGCCCACCACTGTTCACGGTCCTTGCGGAGACTTTTCGTAAGTTTCCTCTTGTGCAGCTTTCGCTCCTCATTGAATTCGGAGCTCGCCGGAATAAGTCTTCTAGCATCTATCAGTTCGGATGAGGCGGTGGAGATCCAGTGGTTTTTACTCACCTTTGGGTTTACCTTATTCACAGCTTTTACAGCTGTATCTATGGCTGCCTGGATATTTTTCCAAGCTTCTTCAGGGTGAGCACAGCTGTCGAACACAGATATGTGTTTAGCTAGTTCTTCCTCAAATACGGATTTAGTTTCCTGATCGAGCTGGGGACGTGATGGTTTTACCGCCAGCTGTTTCCTACGTCCGTTCAGTCGTAAGCACACCCGAGCGCGGACCAGTGCATGGTCGGTATCTACGCACGTGTTCCAGAAGGAGCGACAATCTCCTACCGACCCACGCCAACGATAGCTTATTGCTATGTGGTCTATTTGTGTCCAGCGTTGGTTTGATGAAGGGGGTCTCCAAGTCAAACAGTGTCTCTCCTTGTGTTTAAAGTTAGTGCTTACAAGAAACAAATGATTATCAGAGCAGAACTGTAGGAGACGGTCACCGTTGTCGGTTCGCTGGCACGGAGCTCCATAGGTGCCACCGACATCCTTCTCAGATTGACACAATTTCCCTACTTGAGCGTTAAAGTCACCAGCTAGAACGACTATGTCTGAGCGTTTAGCCTTTCGCACCAAACTAGACAGCTTTTGGTAGAACTCATCCTTCGTTTCATCTGAACTGCAGTCAGTGGGGGCGTAGGCGGAGATTACGAAAAGGCATCGGCGAGTAGTGCAGTCCTTCCTCCTTCTTACTGATCCGTTCAGGCGGACAGCACACATTCGGCTATCTACCGGGATCCAGTCAAGCAATGTCTTTTCTGCCCTAGTACTCAAAGCTATCCCTACGCCAGCTAATCCTCGTGAACTAGCTGTGGCATCTCCTGACACCCTCAAGGTGAATTTTGCAGATTCAACCTGTTGGCCAGGTGGGGTTAGGTGAATAACCACACTTGGGTCTTGTATGCGTGTTTCTGAAACACAGCATACATCAATGGCTCGTGATGCCAGGGTCTTGGCTAGTGATGCTTGTTGTCCTATTTGGCAAAGTGTCCTAACATTAAGAGCTCCTATATGAAATTGGTGGCGCGGCTTTAAGAGGCTGTCGGTGGTGGTTTTTTGGCTTCCATCGTTTTTAGTGGACGCAGAGTGGAGAGGAAGTGGAGAGCTATCAAGTCGAGGAGTTGCATCAGTGGAAGGAAGGCAAGATGATAGAGATGAAGATGAAGACAAAGATGAGTGAGTAATAGAGAGGTTTCGTGTGCATTTCGGATTGTGAGGGCGATTGTTACTTCCCGGCTGCCCACACCGTGGAAGTTGGTTGCGTGACCGCAGAGCCCAGGGGACAACTGCTTGAGGCCGGTCACACGCGGCCTGTTTTTGTTTGTTCTTTTTTGTTTGGTGTGTACTGCTCAGCAGTTCGCTCCGTCCTTGTCTATGGCTCTGAAACATGGCCAATACGAGTTGTAGACATGAAAAGGTTGACTGCTTTCGATCATAGATGTCTGCGATCTCTGTCTCACGTTAGGTGGTTTAATAAGGTAAGTAATGTTGACGTTAGGCGTAGAGTGTTGGGCAAAGAGGGAAAATCAATCGACGAGGCTATAAAGTTACATATACTAAGATGGCTAGGTCACGTGCTGCGCATGCCTAACCATCGCCTCCCCCGACGGGCATTGCTAGCTGATATAGGTTCAGGTTGGAAAAGAGCCAGTGGTGGCCAAACAAAAACATGGCATCAATCCATCAAATCCTTTACAGTTAAACTGAGTCAGGTAGGGAGATGCAGACTCCCGGGTTGGGGCCCTCGGGACTCTAGGAATCAATGGCTGGAGACAATAGGTGACATGGCTCCAAATCGTTGTCAATGGCGCAGATGTATTCAGTCTCTGTAATCTTTCATATTCCTTTCTACCATTACCCATTCTGTTTCACTCTTATACTTATCAAACTCTATTGATTCTCTTCACTCATCTTCTTGTCTACCTCTGTGTGCTATTTGGAACGTGGCAACTCGAACTGGTGCACTTCGGTGGGAAGTTCTATGTTGAATCCAGACAGACAGACAATTTGACGAGTTGATCACGGATTGATATCAGTTAGAGAACCATTAAAAACCAGCACTGGAGTACTGGATAGACAGCTGTTTCATGCTAGTTTGGGAATCATCGGCAGTACGCAACCACCGGGGTTCGAACCCAGGACCTTCCGATTACAAGGTAAGCTCGTATACCATTCAGCCACTGGGACTCGATTTAATGGCCGATGATTCCCAAACTAGGATGAGACAGCTGTTCAATAATCCAGTACTGGTTTTCGGTGTGGTCCTCTAACTGATATCGATCCGTGATCAACTCGTCAAGACAAATATAATCCGTACAAACCAACTATTAAAAACTGGAGTGATTACCAAACGCATTATTATCAGTATGCTTATTGGAATTAAATGTAATATTGCACCTTGTATCATCATCTAATTGTGAGAGCATGATTTCTAGTGGCAAGGAAAGAGAACAGCCTTATCCTCGTAGTTGAAGACTGTAAAATTGAGATTAAGAACTCTGAAAAGTATGATTAAAAGTCATTCTTATCGACATTCAGCATTCGTTCTCCGCCTTTGTGTTAAAACTATCAAATCTATACTTTTATTTATTTATTTATTTCCCTCTTCAGTTTGATTTTCAATAAGAAAAGGTGTAATTATTTTCTGCTTGCTAACCAAAACTTTTTGTGTTCCTTAAAGTTACTGAATAGTAGGTCTATGAACACACATACTAAATGAATAATGAAACAGTTTTGTTCAACCAAGAAATATTTTTTTCGACGACTTCATTTTCAAGACAACTGTGTACAGTCGTATTTATATTACGGAAAAAGACATTAATAAGTGACACTAGAAAGTGCTCAGTGGTCAATATTGCACATATGATGTTAAGAATAAAGATAATTAAAATGACGTATTAAGGGGGCGGGGTAGAGTTGAAGTGGATGAATTACAAAACTTTTAAATTAAATAAGTGAATTGGTATTAATATTTTAAAAATAGTAGGTCGTGTTGTGTGAAAAAAATCAAGAGTACCATGATAACTGTAAAGATGACGAAGTGAAGTGAAATGAATTCAAGTGGTAAAATAGGATAAAATAAAAAAAAAACATTACTATGACGTAGCTAAAGAAAGGGGTTTAACGAAATCGTCTTTGAACACATAATTTAGGTTTCTGTCCATCTATAGCTAGAGCTTCGGTTATGCATAGGTGAAGAAAAACTTAAGCTTTTGGAGTGGTTAGATTTGGTCCTGTAGATTACTTTGAAGAATAAATCACGTGGGACTGAATGACCTGACTCTAGAAAGTGTTCACAGATTGAAGACTTTGGCGTCCTTTTCTCACCTTTCATTAACCAAACCCGGGTAGTAATGTTCAGCTACGTGTTTACGGAGAACACGCCTACAACGTCCAATGTATTCAGCTCCACACGAGCCTGTGAATGAGTATATGCACATAGAGGTGGACACAAGCGGTAGTCTATCCTTAACGCATTGTCGAATTATATTTCGACTGGTATATACTAAATGTTTGTCAGCTGCATAAAATGAGCGTTTAATACACCATTTATATAAACGAGTTTTAATAACTTCAGCAACAGTGTTACCTTTGAAAGCCAAACTCATACACAGTGTCTTCTTTGGCACAGTGATTTGGCTGGTAACGGTTTCCTTCTTAATGTTTCTGTCAATAAACCTTCTAGAATATCCATTTGTACGAAGGTTTTCTAGTTTGATGTTGACCATATCTATGGAGTAAATTTTCCGAATTCTAGAGCCTAGAGAACAGATGACATTTCTCTTCCTACCTAGAGGTACTCAAGTGTTAAAGTTAGTGTACCGCCCTGTGAATGTTGACTTTCGGTTGATCGCTCCTATTAACCTGTCATCCTCTCTTTTATCTAACACCATATTTAAGAAGTGAAAAGTATCGATGGATGAGGATCATTAAATTTTACAAGAAGCTGCTCGACAGTTGAACATTTGTCGTTAATATATCGCTGATACATATGCAAACTTGGGATTGTTTTCTTTCAATGAACCACTCAACAACATATTTTTCTATATTCCTATACGTTTCCAATGGTGGCTTGCAGTTTCGGTACCAGTGGCGTTTATTATTTTTACGCGATGGGTTCGCTAGCCACCTCATATCCAACCTTTCCTCTTTACCAATCTTATTACTGGCTGGTGTAGCGAGGTAAAGGATTGCGTCCAGTGGCCGGGGATCGAACTCCGGACCACACATGTGGTTGGACGCACATTGTTTCTCTCTCTTCTATTTAATTGTTGTTATATGTGAATTTTTTTTAAAAACAACTTTTCTTTCAGCTTTTCTTTTTCGCTTGAATTTTAAACCTAGATAAAATTATGTAATTGACGAGTAAGAAGAAACGCCATATCATCCATCGTCTGATTATTGTAAAAATGCCTGTTAAACGACCATCTAGTCGTTTTATACCTACAAATACACGAAAGTAAGCTTTCGTTAGTTGCACTCTTTTAAATAACAACACTTATAGAACTTGTGAACCACCGGCGATAATACCACCTGTAATAAAACATTGTACATTTCCTGCTGTACCAAAACTGTCGAGTTTATCGTTTCTTTCAATCAGTCTAGTGATCTGTTTAACGTCTACACTAACTCAGTATATTAATCTATATAAAACTGTATGGTGGTTACCGAATTCATCAATTCAATACGCCATAGTAAGTCATGCTGTGTAAACAAAAAAATATTGAAAATTCACTTGACAGGAATTTGATCTAATCGATCAATATGTGATAACGCATATCCTATTTATGCTGTGTACGCCATATCTTTATTTGATATTTATTAAGGTATGTCTTCTCTCTTTTTATATTTGAATAAGATTTATATTCTTGTTGTATGCATTTTAGTGTACGCTATAGTCATGCTTTTTAACTGTTTACAAGCGATATTGTTATTATTCTCTTGGGTTGTGAGTCGAACATAGGGCTTCAACAACAACAATACATCTCCTCTGTCTTCTATTTGGCGCTATCCTCTTCAGCTGGCTGGGTGGGTCCATGAGAGGTGCTGCCCATAATCTCTCATCTCCTCCATGTCACCCTCGAATTGATGACCCACTCATACTTGCTTCCCATTGGATTTCACTCGAACACTGGCCTGTATCTAGCGAGGTGTCATTGGATCTATGGCCTCCACACTGGCGTATGTCCGATTAGTCCATCTCCATTTCCTCGCACATATTTGTTGAGCAATCAGTCGACTCTTCCTTGGTTGGTTTGTTGTTCTACTGCAGAGTTTCTTGTTGCTGATTCTTTCTATTTAATCTTGAGTATGCAGCCTGCCAGCTAGCTAGAGAAATGGGCAGGTGTTGATAAAAGTCTTCATCTGTCTGTTGGAAATGCTTTTCGTGACTGACTCATGCGCGCAGTGCAAGTTTGGGACCCGTAAAAAATGAACTCAGTGACTGACTAACTGACTTGGCATTTGTGTTGAATGGAATTCGAATATATCTTCTTCTTCATGCTGGCTGGCTGGTTGAGTAAGTGAGTGAGTGAAGCAGAAAATTTCCAAACTGGTTTCAGATTGATGAAGGCGTATCTTGTCTTTCCGATTCCGACTGGCCGGCTGGCATTTTAGTGTATGTTATAGTCATGCTTTTCAACTGTTTACATGCATTTTTATTATTCTTTTGGGTTCCGAGTGGAACATAGGGCTTCAACAAGACCTTCACTTTGTTCTATCTTCTGCTGTCCTCATCGGCCGCTTGGGTCCACGAGTGCTCATAATCTCTCATCATCATCATCATCTCCTTCTCCTCCTCCCCAACACACGATCTCCTCTATGTCACCCTCGCAATGACCACCCAGTCGTCGCTTCTCATCCAACGTCCACTCGACTAATGCCCTGCATTGGGTGCGATATCATTTGACTGCCTTCTCAATGGTGTATATCCGATCAGTTCATCTCCATTTTCTCCTACATACTTGTTGAGCAATCGGCTCTTGCTTTGTTGATTTACCTTCATCGCCAGGGTTTCTTGTTGCTCATTCCTTCTGGTGAGCCATTTAATCTTCAGTATGGAGTCAGTGAAGTGGGTAGCTGTTGATACAAGTCTGCTTTTCGTGACTGACAGGCTCACGAGCAGTCCATTTTTTTCACCGTAGAGAAGAACTCACTGAGTGACTTCACTATGGTGAGTGTGTCTAACCGATTCTGGCTGATTGGCTTTGATATCTTCATCAGTGCTGTCGGACTGTCTGCCTGTCTGCCTGTGGTTGAAACCTTACTGGCTACCTAACTAACTAGATAATTGAATGCAGGAAGTAACCTGTGTCGAATCTCTTCCTCGCGTTGATGGTGATTGGTGCTGGTTGTTGTTGTCGCTGTTGCTTGTTGGTTAGTTGGTTGGTTACCTTCATCACCTCCGTCTTCTCTATGTTCATCACCTGAAGTTATGTCTTTGTCCCCACTGCTTCTTTAGCCAGTTTGTTGGTTTTCACCTGTCTTCCTGCCTGCGTTTAAGTCTTCCAGTTTGTGTGACAATAAACTTAAATCATCCACACGCGAAATGCAGATCTTCTAGACTCTTATTTTCGGTGATCCAATGTATTCCTGTTTGCTCAATCCCTGTGCAAAGTCTTCTTCATAATCCAGTCCATCACAATTACGCGTATCATCGGTGATAGTAGGCGACCATTGTCACACATCCACCTGTTGAATGAGGTTGATAAAGACTTGAGCAATACACGCAGTAGCGTTTAAGTTGTTTCCAAATTACTTCTCGGTCAACTCTGTGGATATATATATATATCTTATTTTTATGCAACATCTTTCTAATGGGTCTACAGTGTAGTTAAAGTTGCTTACAACGTTTGAGTAGCTTGAAAATCCCCATCGATTCATATGAAAAAGAGAAGACGTTCAGCGAAGAAACTCTATTAGGCAGCGAATTCATTCACATAGCTGTACAATCGCATTTATGTATAATTATTTTTGTCTGTGTGTACATGAAGTTTTGTCAAGTTTAGATAATTGATCAGGTAATACAAGAATGATCTAATATAGAAACAAGGTTAATTAGACAGCAACGGAAATAAGATTGAGTTAGTTAGTAAGTTAGATGACGTAATATAATTGACTAAAATGTTTCAACTTAGGTCAGGGTAGCAACAGAGGTAATTACAGGTAGAGACTAAGTAGAAGTGGGGTAGAGAATAATGCCATTTAAATTAGAACTGAAATTGAGCAAATAAGTTGGATGACTTAACACAAATGACTAGAAATTGAGCGTTGGTCAAGTCAGTAACAGTGGTAGTGGGGTGTAGAAATTAAATCGGGTGGGGGTAGAGAACAAGAAAGCTGAAAATGTAAAATATTACAGTTGAAAGACAAAATAATACTAATGAAGAGACACAAAAAAAGAGATTATGTAGAATTTACTTGTCGGGTAATAAGATAGATTAAGTCCATTGCAAGTGTAGTGATTGGACGAACTTCTTCTGTATGCAGAGTTCAGGACTTAGCACGTGAATTGTCATTGCTTCTGCAGTTTGAAGAAGTCTGATTCGTAAACCTTTAGGAAGACTACTTCTTACTCTGTAGACGACTTTGAAGTTTGTTTTGGGGTGTAGCTTGGTGTCCGATTCTGTCAGATGTTCTAAGATAGAGCTGGGTGAGTGGCATCGTTTTTCTCCTATGTAAAACCATGTTGGTAAATGTTCGGTGATACATTTTGGAAAGCGAACGCTGGGTACGGCCGACATACGTGGCTTGCTTACGTCAACTGCGATAAACTTTTAGTCTTCGAAAATTCCCTCATTTGTAGTAGTAGCACAGTTCCAATCATTTCTAAAATTGTTTATCGGGTGGCATCATTATTAATCACAGCCTGAATGTGGGCTGTATAGCCTAGAAGAAGATTAGTGTCCTTTTCAGCCAATTTATATTTATTCATTCGATTGATGTACTCAAATATTACATACTATGTTGTATATTTAACTCGCTGTTAAATTTTAAGCATGACACACTTTCTCTCTATTTATGTTTTTTGTTTCTTCAAATAGATTATTCCATCATTTATACTAAATTCATTTATCATACGTTCAATATTGGGTTTAATTATTTTCACATTTTGGAGTTATATTATGCTATGGATTGTTAGTAGTATAGAATATTCTGGAGTTATGATTTTATACAATATATCTGGAATAATTCTACTGACATATTTGTAAGTACGCGTATTTATTTTTTTTGTGTTACCGTTGTATGTGTGCGTGTGTGTGTGCACATATATAGCCATGTCGAGTATGGATGACAATGGAGATAACTATTATTTATATTAAATTAAGTACTATCATAACAATAGAAGATAAGAGCCAAGCAACAGATCGTTTATTGAGAAAATCAATAGGTATTTATAGATTATTATGTACATTATTATTAGCAGAGAAACAGGGTCTTCTGATTGGTTGTTTTCCTGCTCAAGGCTATTTTGTTATCGCTTTGTGGCCGTTTCCTAGACAGTCCGGTCTACGAATCGTATCCGCCTACGCTAAGTCTGCTGTGATTGGTTGTTGAGTTCCTCAAGGTTAAGCTTTGTTTTTCTTTTTTTCTCATAACCAAGATATGGGACGTAAATATTGACGTAATTTGCAGTCTACCAATTTTGACTAGCAGACAACTCTCACCACACACACTATAAATATTTATCAGTATTATGGAAAATTGTGTCCATACTACTGATTGATTGTGACATTTTCCTTGTGAAACTAGAGAATAAATGGGCCTTTGAAAGATGTGTAACTGATAAATTTGAATTCTATTGTCAGTACATGGATGTGACACATTTTTGATTATGAAAAATGAGGAGGAAGCGAAGAGCATTCTGAATGAATTTAACGAGGTTCATTCTGCAATGCATTTTACTATTGAGAAAGAAAAAAACTCTAGTATTTCATTCCTAGACGTCCTTATGACCAGAAAAGAGGATGGCACAATAACAAGAAGAAGTGTATATAGAGAGCCTACATCAACTGACTGTCAGTATATTCATTTTCGCAGCTTCGTGCCCTTGAAACACAAACGCAATCTGATAAAGTGCTTGGTCCGCCACAGAACAAGAGCAATCTGCTCGGATAAATGCCTTGATGAGGAGCTTAATAATATTAAACGGTTGCTGGGTGAAAATGGTTATCCAGAAACTTTTATTGATAAGAATATGATTCTAAAATCAAAGCAGGCCAAGGCACAAACAGTTTCTAAAAGGGCCTTATTCCTACAAATTCACTTCCTTGGGGACAACATCAGCAAGATATTAACACAACGTCTTAGGAATGCGGTAAAAAGAGCCGAATTACGCTGTGTCTTCAAAACCACTCGTATTTTGCGTCCGAAAGTAAAAGACAAACTGCCTAATTTCGCCTCTTCTATGTTTATCTACCAATTTAACTGCTCATGTGAGTGAGCCAGTTAGTTGCAAAGGCCGTATAATTAGGCGTGTTTCTCGTCGGATTTCCGAACATCAACCTGCATAGTGGTTAAGTAAAGGACAAACAAAATCTATTGGCAGCGCTATTCTTTCTCATCTTGTGGATACGGAACACAAGATTGATGTTAACCAGGCTGCTTTCAGAGTCATTTACCGCATACCAACAAATCTTAGCTTCGCCGTAAGAGTTCGATTGCTAAAGATTGCTGAGGCTGTTGGGATCCATATTAAGAAGCCTAATTTGTGCATCCAAAAGAAGTTAGTTCAGACATTACCATCTTTAATGAACTCTAATTCCCTTGATTTTACTTTACAAATCGATATTATTTAAAAGCACACTAGCTTTGTTATTGACTACTATTCTAGAATATTCTGTGTATATAAACATGCATATATAATTGTAGAGACAGAAGAGGATATCATCGAAAAGGATATTTTTTGCTCAATTATTTTGTGTTTTATACAAGTAGTAGTATTTGTTAGCCAACCAGATTGAAGTAGTCTAAGCACTGAATAACGACTGTTTGGTGAAGTTAAAGTATCATAGCCAAAGTTAAGGTCGCTCAAAAGTTGACCTTTGAAAAGTAATCAGATATAGGGAATGCGATGAATGGTCATACCGAATGAAATCATACCTGCCTCTTTATTTGCTAGGTAATTTTTTTCTTTAAATCTATACTGTTATGGGGTTATGGCTTTTTAGATTGATGTGTAGGGTTAAGGTTAGGATTACAGTTAAAGTTAGGAGTAGTAGGAGAACAGTGCCAGAAATATCAATGGATCTCAAAGTACCATGATCTGCAGTCATCTAGATGATTGCATTTATCGCGCATTGTATGATTTCTCTAAAGATCATCTGTGTTGTGACATGGAGACATTCTTACAACAGATATAAGCGACAACTATATCGTGTAATATCATGTTTACAATGTTGGTTTTTTAGTGCATTTTTCAACGATCATGTCACTTTTTGGTACGTGAATTCTGATTGGTTGCTCAAGGTCATCGTATTTTTGGCTGTGATAATTTAACTTTGCCCGGCTGTTTCACTCATTAGGAGGCTGAGTTCATCACGAGTGTAAGCGGTATGACAACTCAGCTCAGAGAGATGAATCACTTCACAAATCAACCGAATTTTTAGCTAGCTGCCTACTTGGGCGCAAACTGGTGATATCACATGAGATAAACGCTTAGAATTGTGTAGTAAACCGCGGTTGTCTGTACTTGTTGTATTTAAATGTTTTGCTTATTCATGTCTACAGGTCAACGGCGTAACGATGTTGTTTATTTCTGTGTGTTTGTGTGTGTGTGTGTGTGTCAAACTGCTTGGCTGGAATAACGATTTGTTCCGCTTATGTGCGTGTTCTCATATGGAGCTATTGATGCTTCTCACTACGCCTTTATTTAACCACACTGGTAGATGTTCCCGGGTGAGAACGAAAAATCAAGTAACGGTCAATATAACTCACTCCACCACAAGCGCAGTTGAATTATTAGAAACATGAAGAACAGGTGGCTAGTCTAGTCTAGGTACTTCATCTGTCAATTGGGGAAACACCACTGGTCGTGTAGAAAATAAGACTTATAAGTTGCCAGAATTAAAAGTTCTTTAAACACCTGGTCCAAAACTGGTCAGGAAGCTAGCATTGAAGAGTCCTTTTCCCATCATCATCTACCGGGTACCAATTAAATTGCCAAAAAAATTTAGGTACCGCATACTCCAAACAGCAGAGACTGCTATCGCGATTCGTGTGAAACAACCGGTGCTCTATGTGTGTGTCTGCGCAGAAGAAACAGGTCCAGCCAAATACTTCTAATGCCCTGGCTGGCCTTCAGTTGTTAATCACACTAATTCATTTACTATTATGATAAAAAGCAGGTTATCGATCAGAAGAATATTCTTTGTTCAGTAACCATTCTTTTGAAAAAAAATTTAATGGGTACTTTTAATCACTTATAATTAAAAGTAATAAAATGATAAGGAAATCTGATATTATTACGCTTAATGTTTAAAGAAGGGCCCTAGTGTCATAGCGATCGATTATAAGCCTTATCATGTGTACTGAGTTACATACAATTTGACGCATATATAATTTTCAATATTTGGTTTGTAAGGATTAGATTTGTTTATACGAGTTTGACCACGGATTGATATCATTTGGAGAGCCATCGAAAACCAGTACTGGAGTACCGCCAGACAACTGTTTCATCCTAATGTGGAACTCATCGGCAGTACACACCCACGAAAAGGGCTCGGACCCAGGACCTTCCGGTCACAAGTCAGGCAAGCTCGTATACCATTCAACCACTGGGACCTGATTGGCTAGTGACCGGCTACAGGACTCAGCTTCCTGGAGTTCTAGTGAGACGTCATGACCAGTGAGATCCATTCAGTCGGGATTGAGGATGGAGTTCATTATATTTCTTGACCTAAAGGCGGCATTCGATTCTGTCGACCGAGAGGTACTCTGGCGATGCTTGGCTGTAAAGGGAATGCCGAGAAAATACATTGCACTGATTAAGGCACTCTACTAGTACTCATGCAGCCAGGTGAAGGCTTACGGCGAGTTGTCATCTGAACTGGTGACGACTAGTGGTGTCCGTCAAGGATGCCCATTATCCCCATTTCTATTCAACTTCATCATACATGTACTAATGGATTTAACCCTAACTCACTTCAGCGACTCAGGGATTGACTTGCTACCAGGCAAGGAATAATCTCGTTGGCTTAGAATATGCAGATGATATAGTCCTTCTAGGCGAGGACGCTGACAAAATGCAGAGTCTTCTAAACACCTTGAGCCGCAATCTACGACTGTTTGGCATGCGATTCTCTCCCGCTAAATGCAAGATGATGTTACAGGACTGGAGTACACCGACTCCTAGATTAGAAATAGGGAGCGAAGTGGTAGAGTACGTTGTCCGCTTCACTTATTTGGGAAGTACCATCAGCCAATGCCAATGGGTTGATCTCTGACGAAATCTCAGTACGGATACAGAGGGCTAGTTTCGCATATGCCAGTTTACGCTGTCTCTCTTAGTAGACGTGATATCCGGCTATCGACCAAAGGGCGTGTGTACTGCTCATCACTCCGCTCCATTCTCTTTTATGGCTGACTGTTAGACCTGTTCATTGAGACTGGAAGACATGAAAAGCCTGGCTAGCTGTCTTTAATCATGGGTGCCTGCGCTCTATCTCCCGTGTGAATTAGTATAATAAGGTGTGCAATATTGAGGTTAGGCGTCGAGTGCTACGTAAGTGGGAGGGGAAATCAATGGATGAGGTTGTGAAGTCACATCGACTGAGATGGCTAGAACATGTGTTACGTATACCTAGTCATCGCCTACCTCGACGAGCACTGTTAGCTGACATAGGGTCAGGCTGGAAAAGAGCTAGCGGAGGTCAAACAAAAGCATGTCACCAGTCAATAAAATCTACAACAGTTAGTCTAAGCCACGTAGGAAGGTGTAGACTTCCTGGCTGGGGTCCTCGGGGCGGTAAAAATCTATGGTTGGAAACAATTGGTGACATGGCTCAAAATCGTTCTCAGTGGCGCAGATGCATCCACTCCGTGTGACTTATGATCTCCAATGAAACTGTTTTGTTTTTCTTTATTACTCCTTTGTCTCACACCTCTGCTCACTGTTTCGATTATGCTTTTCTTGTACTTTCTTCTCTTGCTTCGCGTGCTACACGGAATGTGGCGACTTGAACTGTCGCACATCGGTGCAACGTTCTATGTCGAAAACAGACAGACAGTATACCCTACTACTGCCGTGGCTTCTTGTTTACAGACCGTGAGTAGTGTTTTCCTTGAACTTGAGTCATCTACGCTTGTTCATATTGTCCAGTACAAAACTAGACGAATTATCTAAAATTACCTTGACTTTATGCATATATATGTATATAACCACCTCACCATTCTTGTTCATTGCATAATATTTGTTATTGTTTTGTTTAGATTTTTAAAGAATTTCATCCACTTTATTTATATCTTCCTATTTTTTTCTCTCACCTTCTTTATACCATGGATATTTCAGTCCTGTGATAACATTTATCATCTATCATTTTCGTTATTTGGAGAAAATGATTTATCCTTCCAATCGATGTCGACATCCTCAACAACAACAACAACATTACCACAACCATCACCACCAACAACATCACCACCATCATCATTATCATCACCAGCAACAACAACAACACTATAATACTTCTGCTGGGTGTGCGGGTAACAGTAATAGTAATTACCAGAAAACTTCATCACATTCCACTTTTTCTAGATTAATACGTTTTCTTAAGGTTAGTTGGAAAGTTTTGTGTAAACATTGTTTTTCATTCTTTCTTCTTCTTCTTAATATTATTGTCAGTAGTGATTGTTGATTGTGTGAGGGCTGAGATACTGCCCGGACGGCCAGACAAAAGCAGGTGGTTGTCTTAAGGGAACACCTCCGCCCCTCCCGCCCCCCGCGAGCCTTTGGCTTGGAGTCTAATCCGCAAGGCAGCTGGACAGCGTCAGCAGCTACGTACCCTTGGTTGGAAGTTCATACACCATTTGTGAAAACAAAACACCTAGTGTGTTCAACGAAGAGTCTCTTTTCAACGGCGAATTCATTCACGCTTAGCTGTACAATCGCAAATATATACATACGAGTTATTTTGTATGTATTTGTACATTAAGTTTGTCAAACAAAATTACAATTAGTTATGGGTTATTTTAACTAACTAACAGGTGAAGATTGGTAATACAAGTCAAGAAAATTGGGTGTTAATGAAGCTAGGATAGTGTAATAAAGGTGATGAGTTGTCACAAACAGTTGTTAAAAAAGAAGTTATGTAATAATATGAATAGTTTGATGATTGAGTTTTACTCGGTCAGGATGCATATAGAAACAAAGTAGAGAATACAAAATTACGTAAGAGTTCTAAATGAATACAAGAATTATGGGCAATTAAAGAAACAGGCAAACAAACAAAATTAAGTCATCAAAAATCAATAAGAGTTGTTGCCATGATAGTAGAAGTGGTTGAGTAATTCTTTTTTGTACGCACAGCTCCGGTTTTTCTTTGTGACAAAGACGAAACCGTATTGCCTTTGATAGGTTATTCTTGACTCTGTAGATTATTTTGAAGCAGTTGGCGTTTGTTGAAATGGAATGATTAGTGTTAACCAGGTGTTCAATTATCGCACTCCTTATTGCACCACTATTGCCTTTTCTCAACCATGCTGGAAAGTGTTTTTGCATCCCCTTGGACAAGGTGTGCATTGGACGATCGATGTACCTGACTGGCTCCACAGCAGCAGAAGATTACGCAACCACTTCTACTGTTATGGTAACAACTTTTTTTTTATTTTGATGACTTAATTTTGTTTCTTTGCCTGTTCTTGCATTCATTTAGAACTCTTACGTAATTTCACACTATCTACTTTGTTTCTATGTGCATCCTGAGTAAAACTCACTCATCAAACTATTCATACTATTATCACATAACTTCTTTTAACAACTGTTTGTGACAACTCATCACCTTTATTACACTACCCTAGCTTCATTAACACTTAATTTTCTTGACTTGTATTACCAACCTTCACCTGTTTAGTTAAAAAGTAACCTTAACCAATTGTAATTTTGTTTGACAAACTTAATGTACACATACATAAAAAATAACTCGTATGTATATATTTGCGATTGTACAGCTGTGGAAATAAATTCGCCGTTGAAAAGAGACTCTTCGCTGATCTACGTGTTTTGTTTTTATTAATGCCTGGATGAGGATTATCCATTTGATCCGATTGGATTCTGGAGCCCATGTACTCCATAGTCTAGTCGCTATCCAAGCAACCTTCCTGATATGGTAGGACCTGCAGGAACATGATTCCTAGCTAGTTTAGCTTGTTGGGTCACTGTGGTATTCAAGCTCGACCATCACGGTAAGGTAGCAGCTGTCAGCAGGGGTTGTCAGTAGTAAGAGTAGTACTATTATTGATTTTTTGTGTTCCAAGCAGAACATAAGGCCTCTTCAGTAGTACATCTCTCTGTTGTACTCGAGTATTTGTCATTATTTTCAAGTGGCTTCATAACTTCTCATACTGTTTTTGGTTTGAAGAGAAGTGTTGATAGCTTCCGTCAGATGAGTCATGTTCGCTGCCGCCTATACGCCACGGTGGCGGGAGGAGGTTGTGTGTTCCACTCAAAAATGAAATGGTGAATGTGAACCTCCCCGGGGCTTACAATTTGACTGATGTGAATATGCTAGTGTCTTCATTATAATAAGGGTTTTTTGTATTTCACAATGAACGAAAAACAAAATGATATTGTTGTGTTCTTACTGACGTTTCGCTACTTATTCTTAGTTTCATAAAGCCTGCAATTTTGGCTTTCTTTACTAAGAACTTTTCGACTACTTATTAGTAGTGCGTTTAAAACTACAAAATTTTCTCAACCAATAGGTGCTTTCAAAGCTGAACCCTGTTTGGTACATATCAGAAAGCCAAATGAAGTTTTAGCTTTTATGAATTAATTGCTTTCAAATTTGGCCACGGATTGATATCAGTAAATGAATCACTTAAAACTAGGGATTACTACACATGTGTTTTGTTAGCCTAGTCTGGAATCACTCAGCAGTCAGTACACACCCAGGCAGGACCTTAAGGTTACGAGGCGGGGCCGTTGATCATTTAGTTATCACGTGGATGGAATCCACTGGCCTATGAACTCTGACTTTTATCAATATGCGATTTTTAGTGCGTCAGCCGATGTCTTCACTCTGACCGATAGCTGCTACCCGTGACTTCGTGGTCGGGCTTGCATATCGCAGTAACCCTCAACAAACTACACTGACTGGAACTATTGTTCCTACAGGTCCTATCATGACGGGATGGTTGTTGGGACAGCGATTAGACTAAAATCAGTTACCGGCTTAGTGTAAGAATTTTTTTTACACTTTGCTGGGGGGGTCTGCGGAGGAAGTCGCACTACTGGGGAACAGGGATGTAACAGCAGTCAGGTGTTTCCCTCAGATGACTAGCATACCAGCCAGCTATGCTGTCTCTCAACTCTGGAGAGAGGAAGTTAGAAAAGGTTGACTCCAAAAATTGTATATCCCGACTTACCATACGATGGTACGTAACCGGCGGTAAGTCTAGTAATACGGAACCAAACCAAGAAACCAGTTTATACAGGCCGTGTAACCCGCCGTAAGCAGTTGTCCCTTTGGCACTGTGGTCATGCAACACTAACCCTCCTTCTTTTTCAGGTACCTGAAGAATCAATCAGTGTCCATGGTGTGGGCAGTCGGGAAGTAAAAACCGCCCACACACTTCCAAAAGCACACATTTTTCTTCACACCTACCCTGTTGGACCCCACTGGTCACGACTTCTCACTAGAACATTAAGCAACTTCCTATAGTTAGTCAATAGTGAGAAACAGATTAGTTTTTAAGTCACGGAAATTATGGGCAGGCACGTAAGGAGCGGATCTGTAGATATCTTGTTGCTAACATCTATTAGTTAATTGATGTTTTGATGACTTTTAACCTTTTAATTTCACCCCCCCGCCCGTCCGCCTAGGTATGTCTAAAACTGATTAACTAAAATAACCACTTGATTGGTAAAAAGTATTTGATGTAGGAAACAATATATAAGTGTAGAGCCAACCGATGGTGAGGAACTAATTGAAAAGGAATGCATATGTCTTTGCTTAGTCTGTCGTTGTTTTTTTCTAAATGCGTAAATGTTATGATTCATTATTATTCCATTGGGTTCCGAGTGGAACATAGGGCTTAAACAACACATCTCCACTTTGTCCTGTCTTCTTGCGTCCTCTCCAAGCGGCCAGGCCCACCATTGTCCATAATCTCTCATCTCTTCCTCACACGATCTCCTGCAGAACACCCTCGCCCTGACCACCCATTCGTCGCTTCCTGCTTGCATTCCATTCGAACGATGGCCTCCTCAACATATGCCAGATCCATCTCCATTTTCTCCCACATATTTGCTGAACAATCGGCTGTTGTTTTGTTGATTTGTTCATCGCCAGAATTTCTTGTTGCTAATTCTTTTCGGCCAGCCAGCCATTTGATCTTCAGTAGGAAGCCAGTGAAGTGGTCAGCTGTTGATAGAAGTTTGCACCCAGCTGTTCAGAATCCTTATTGTGACACATAGTGCAAGTTTCTAACCCGTTCAGAAGAACCGACTTGACATTGGTGTCGAAGATCCGAATCTTGTTCCTTATGCTGTCTGAGTGAAGCAGAAGATTTCCAAACTGGTTTCAGGTTGATGAAGGCACATCTCGCCTCTCCGATTCTGACAATGACATTCGTTCCTCCAGTAGTTGAAACGATGCTTCGTGGCCAGATAACTGAAGGAGGATAAATCTTTCCTTTTGATGGTGATTGATGCTGATTGCTGTTTCTGCTGTTGGCTGCTTGGTTGCTTATCGTCATCACCTTCGTCTTCTCTATGTTCACCTGGAGTCCTGTCTTCGCTGCCTCTTCAGCTAGTTTGTTGATTTTCTCCTGCCTGCATTTCTTCGATTTTGTGTGACACTAGAAACATCTTCTAGAATCTTCTTATCGGTGGTCCAGCCTAGCCCTAACTCCTCACTCCCAGCGCACAGTCTGACGCATAATCCAGTTCACTACAATTAAGAATATCACCGGCGGTTATAGACAGCCTACTTGGCTTACTCCTGTATTCACTTCGAACGCTTCGCTCGCTGAGTTTTCCCTTGTGGATCACCTGACACATGGCCGTAGGCATTGTCATATAGCCAGCTGTTGAATAAGGCTGATAAAGACTTGAGCACTGCACGTCGTAGTGTTGAAGTAAATTTCCAAATTACTTCTCGGTCAACGCTATCTATCAAAGGTCTATTCGTAGTCGATGAAGTTGTTGAGGTAGAAAGAGAGAGAGAGAGGTTTGACTACGTAAATAGGAACTTGGAATTTACTAAAAAAATATATTCCCATATTATGAATTAAAAGTCAATCTGAACGAAGAATATTCTTTTCAATAATTTCTCCTCTTCAGGTTCTTAAAATTATAAAATATGATATTTGTTGTCGTTACAATAAAGGCCAGTTATGCGGCGGATACATTTTTATACGTAGAATAACAGATTAGCAGTGATGGGATGTCAAAATAAATAGTCGTATATGTGTGACAAACATCCTGCTAGTTGGCTGAAATCGATTACAAAATATTTCGGTGAAACAGGAGACAATGGTGGTGATTAGTTGTCATAATAGATTTATAGAGTGTGGGGTAGGAAAATTGACAAGTCAGTTCAAGGTTATGAAGGGTGTCAGGTGAGTCAGTGGCTAGTACAAGGTGGTATGTATTAAAGAGGAGGTGATAGTAAGACTGCAATGTGAGGTTCATAATGAAATGACGAATGTGTGAAATGAAACAGGTGGAGGCATATATTGAGAAAAGAGATAATATCACTAATAATATGTCCAGACAGCATAAATGGAAAATTCGATATTATTGAGGGGTTTGCATGAAGGGTATAAATTATGACGAATAATAATAATTCTAATATTAAGCAAAGAAAGGAAAACACCAAGAGGGTTAACGGGAAGAGACAGTCTTGGTGAGAAGAAGAATCATCAATCCAAATTTGGCCACGATAGGAACAGAGTCTGAACGTGCTCTTTTTTTTGGATACAAAGTTCCGGTTTAGTCAATCTTATTGTAACAGCTTCAGCTATGTGTGTAGGAGACGTAAGCGAACTTTTACGTGATAACGACTTCGGAATTCGGTATATAACCCTGAAAGCTGTGTTGACATCGATACAATGTCCAGTAGAGAACAAGGCCGCATAACTCGCCTTTATTGTAACGACCACAAATATTATATTTTATAATTGTAAGAACCTGAAAAGGAGAAATTATTGAAATGAATATTCTTCGTTCAAATTGACTTTTAAAATATAGTTGTTTTTCGTTTTTAATTATGATATCTAGGATAACATCGGCACGTCCATTAGGTAGAGAATCTTACCTGAGAATTGTTCTGCTGTATTTTTATCTCACTAATCCGACATATTTCATGTCTATTGTATAAAATTCTATCCCTTACAGGTTTTATTCTCATTTACTAAACAATTAATTGCAATATTTACAAATTGGCCGTGTATATCCTCGAAGAATGCCCTATTTCCTTTATCGTATACATCTATTTCATCGCCACTGGTATCATCGGGGTCACATTCAAGAAATAGTAAATCATCATTAATACAAACTGCTTATTATACTACTACTAATACTACTACTACTAATGCTACTACCAGTGATATCAATACAGTTGATGAGTTTATTTTAATGAAACATCATTGTTTAGGTGTAACACCTGAACAGATACGTGATGAAGTTGAAATGAATCGATGTGATTTCAATGCAAGGCTGTTGGATATTTTAATTGGTACTGGACATGTTGTCTATTATGCATGCTTTTTACCAATTATATTTGTACAGGTAGGTTTATGCGTATGTGTGTTTGTGGTTATATGTGACATCTTTTGACAGGCTTTTATATGTGGTGGCGGGTCAGACAACAGATCGTTTATTTAGGAAATCAACACATATTTATAGATTTTCATGTACATTTATTATAGATTATTGTAAGCAAACAAATACAGTCTTTTGATTAGTTGTTTTCCCACTTGAAGTTTATTGAAGTTCAGATTACCTATCTGCGAATTGTATCCGCCTACGCAAAGTCTGCTGTGATTGGTTGTTGAACCAGTCTTTGTTCTTCTTATTTTCTCATGACCAATATTTGAGACGTAAACATTGACGCAAGTTATTATTATTGTTCCCTTGGGTTCCTAGTGGAACATAGGGCTTCAACTGCACGCCTCCACTTGCTTCTGTCTTCCTTCTGTACTTTTCACCTGCATCCATGTTAGTCCATACTGTTTCAACTCCTCTTCACACGATCTCCTCCATGTCACCCTTGCACTGACGTCCCACTCGCCGCTTCCCTTTCGGCCTGGTTCCACTCGAGCAATGGCCTGACGCGCGCGCGATGTCACTCAGCGGCCCGGCCTCCACAGCGAGTGTGCAATCAATCCATCTCCACTTTCTTCTGCATATTTGTTGGCTGGCGATTGGTTCTTGTTTTGTTTGTTCCCATAGTTTCTTGTTGGTGATTCTTTCCGGCCCGGCCATCTGATCTTCAGTATAGAGCGATAGTTGACAGTTGTTGATAAAGGTCTGCAACAGGCTGTTGGAAATATTCTTTGTGACCCGCCCGCCAAGTTTCTGATCCGTATAGAAGAACTAACTGACATGACGTTGTTTGTATTGAAAATCCTACCGAATTTTGTTGTTGATACTTAGTGGCGAAGATTTCCAGATTGGTTTCCCCTTCCCGATTCTTGCTCGATTTGACATCTTCGTCCGTTCCGACTTCCTGTAGTTGAGACAATGCTCCCTAGATAAGTGATAAGTTAATGAAGTAACCTCTTTCAAATCCCTCCCGTTGATGGTGATTGGCACTGGATGTTGCTGCTGTTGTTGTTGTTGGTTGGTTATTTTCATAACCTCCGTCTTGTCTATGTTCACCTGGAGTCCTGTTTTCGCTGGCTGCTTCTTCAACCAGTTTGTCGGTTTTCGCTTGTAAGTCTTCGGTTTTGTGTGACATCAAACATAAATCATCGCCGTGCGAAATCCAGGTCTTCTAGCTTCTTCTCGTTGGCCCAGGATATCCCTGTCTTCTCGTTTCCCACTCACTGTCTGACGCATAATCCAGTCCACCATAATTAGGAATATCATTGGTGATAAGCCAGCACCCTTGTCTGACTCCTGTGTTCACTCCAAACGCCTTGCTGAGTTTTCCGTTGTGCTGACGCAAATTACTGTCTACCAATTTCGGCTAGCAGCCAGCTCTCACCACATTAGTACTTTCAGACCCTAGACTGATTGACTGACTGCCTAACTGACTGGTTTCAACATAGAACTTTACACAGATGTGCAGTAGTTCGAGTTGTCACTCTACCTCCATGTAGTACACAAAGCAAGAGAAGAGAGTAAAAAGAGATTTAGGCGAGACAAAGAGAGATAATATACACTAGTTTGAGGCAAAAAGAATAGTAATATAGAAGAACAATCACAAGGAGTGAATGCATCTGTGCCAGTTATTGTGAAGGACGATTTAGAGCCATATCACCAATTTTCTCCAAGTGCGTTCATTGGTATTGGTTCTTACCATAACGAGGAGGACCCCAACCAACCGGTCAGTCAGGAGCACCACACCTTCCTATATGGTCTGCCTGGCTTAAACTAACTATTATGGATTTGGTTACAGGATTTCATCATGAGCTGACATTGGTTAGAGAACCATTGGAAAACAACCAGCTAGGAGTACTAAACAGATAGCTGTTTCTTCAGCCTAGTTTGCGACTTTTTAGCATTATGCACCCACCGACAGGGTTCGAACCCAGTACCTTCTGGTTACTCATCAGTCCGCTCCGTCCTCCTTTATGGTAGTGAGACATGGCCACTCAGAGTGGAAGACATGAAAAGACTAGCTGTCTTTGATCATAGGTGCCTGCGCTCTATTTCCCGTGTAAAATGGCGTAATAAGGTGAGCAACATTGAGGTTAGGCGTCGAGTTCTAGGTAAACAGGGGAAATCTATCGACAAAGTCGTGAAGCTACAAAGACTGAGATGGTTAGGACATGTGTTACGTATGCCAAGCCATCGCCTCCCTCGACGAGCAATGTTAGCGGATATAGGGTCAGGCTGGAAAAAAGCTAGCGGCGGTCAAACAAAAACTTGGCACCAGTCAATGAAATCCACAACAGTTGGTCTAAGCCACGTAGGAAGGTGTAGACTTTCAGGCTGGGGTCCTCGGGACGGTAAAAATCTATGGTTGGAAACAATTGGTGACATGGCTCAAAATCGTTCTCAGTGTCGCTGGCGCAGATGCATCCACTCCTTGTGACTTATGATCTCCAATGAAACTCTGTTGTTCTTCGTTATTACTATTCATTTGTCTCACCCCTCTGCTCACAGTTTCTATTATGCTTTTCTTATACTTTCTTCTCTTGCTTCGCGTGCTACACGGAGTGTGGCGACTTGAACTTCCGCACATTTGTGCAAAGTTCTATGTCGAAAACAGACAGACAGACAGACCTTCTGGTTACAAGGCGAACGAGCTAGCTCGTAGACCATTAAGCCACTGCGACCCAATCCAGTGGCTAGTCCATGAATTCTAACTTCTACCAATTCACGATATAGCGTGACCGCTAGCCAATGTCTTTGGCGAGTATTTTTCCTCGATATGGATTTATTTGATTGATTGATCAAGCCATATTTTGTTTTGACTACCAGTAGCCAACTCTTTTCCAAACCGATTCATTCTATGTTAGTCAGTCAGCTAGTATTGCCCGCAGACGCGTAAGGCAGATACCTAGCACCAAAGAGGACTAAGAACTCAAAAGTCGTAAAGAAGGAATCAACTGTGACTTCTTAATATTATTTGTTTATCGGTGGTAACCTTATGCTTAATGAAACGCGTGTAAACGCAAATTAAGAGCATAACTGATAAGGAAAGAGAGAAAGTCATAAGTGGTGCTAGTTGTAATGACATCAACATATGGACATTATAGAAGAGTTGACTATGAAGATAAGCTTATCAATATCTCATCTAAAGCTAAACACTGAATCCCAGGATGTCGTGTTTATCTGACACTCTTCAGCAGGACTTCATAGTATTGGGAAGTGATTTGTAAAGTTATTACAAGTATTTCTGAAGAATGATGGAAAATGGAAATATCTCTCTACGATTTCCTCAATCTATATTGTATTGTATTAAAGACTTTCTTTTCCAGCCAGTATGACTGTTTCTACCGAGTTTAGGACTTATCGGCAGTACTCCACCCACCGTCAGGGTTGGGATCCTGGACCTTTCAGTGACAAGACAAGCTTGAATACCATTCAGACATTGGGAAATGATTCATTGGCCCATGAATTCTAACTTCTACTAATTCGTGGCTGAATGGTATACGAGCTCGTCTTTTAACCGGAAGGCCTTGGGTTCGAAACTCAATGGATGCCTACTACTGATGAGTCCCCAAGAAGGACGAAACAGTTGTTCAGCATTCATTGGTTTCTAATGGTTCTCTAACTGATATCAATCCGTGATAAACTCGAAAATATATAAATATACGTCAATTATCCAATTTCTTCATTACCTTACAGAAAGAATATTTATATGTCGATTATTGGTGGTGCCTTCAACATTGCTTTCTGATTGGTTTATTAGTTTTCTTATTACGTTGGCATTATTTTCTACCATGTGATTATATTGATCTGTTACATCGAAGTTCTATGCATCTTGGCAGTTGGGAGAATCTACTCGTGCGTAGTGGATTTTCACAAATTTCAACATGGTCAGCATCTGTTGTAAGTCTTCTTTTTTGCTACTGTGTTTCATGATATGTTTTTTTTTTAAAGTTTCTTTTCGGTTTAAGGAAGAGTAATACGAGTTGTAAGGACAGAAGACAAGGGCCAGGCAACAGATTGTTTATTGAGAAAATCAACGGATATTTATAGATTTTTATGTACAGTCAAGTTAACAAGAGTAGTAATAAGGGGTTAGAGATTTATTAGGAGGTGGGGGTGAGGGAAGAATACAATACATTTAAGAAACGAAAAATACAATAATTATATTATATTTCGTGATAGGATAGAAAGATAGATCAGGTCCAGTGTAGATTTATTGACTGGACAAACTTCTTTCATCGCGACATCTCTGGAACCTAAACCACTGAAACCGCCCACACTTTCTGCTACTAAACAATGTCTCATCGTCGGTAGAAATACTAAGAAACTGCCTGCCTATCCCGCTCACTGAAGGAAACTTTCTTCGTGGCTGAACTTCCATGAATGACTTCCTCTACGAAACCAATGATCCACGTGAATATGAACGTGGATAAGCCACCACTTTTGGTTGCCTCATCAATGTTCCATCTGCCTATTCACCTACTCTACCTGTGCAGCTAGGTGTGTCGGTTGTACCCAGCGTTCGTTATGCAAACGTATCATCGAACACTTACTTACCTACAGTCATAGCTTTATGTAGGAGAAAGAATATCCCATCACCACAACAGATCTATTCTCGATTACCCGATCGATTGAATTTGGACACCAAGCTAAACCATCCACAAAAGAACTTCAAAGTTATCATCCACAGAATATATCGGAGTACAGGAGCTAAAAGGGTACGAATCAATCAACCTGATTTATTTTAATTGAATTTCAGATTTTACCGTCGATTGATTGATTGATTGACCTGAAGTGCTCGGTCTCAGGTTGACATGTCTGTCGGCTTCTTGTGCAGATGCTTCGACGACGATGTCTGGGCATTTAATTAGTATTTAATTGGTGGATGGTGATTAGCAGTGGAATCTCCTGGTCCAAGTGGTCTAGTGGATAACGCTTTGGCGTTTGAAACTATGGTCACTGGATTTGAGCCTCGGTGGGAACATCATCACTCATTGAGAAATGCAGTTACATCCATTTGTAAAAAATTATATTTGTAAAATCTCAGCGATATTGAAATGAGTTATTCCAACGTTTCATGTGTTCGTCAATCTGGTCCGAACTTCTTCAGGGAAATTAATCGAAATTAACATAACAGGTTTATATATAAAAGGAACATCTTTAGTTTTTAAAAACTTTGTCCAATCATGATTCATAAAACAAGTATTAACAAGTATAATAAACAAAATTGTACGAGTTGTGATCAAAATTTGACCTCAGACTTACAAATATTGATCTACCTTTGTTAAACACTTTAAACACAGTGTGTGAGTGTGTGTGTGTGTGCGGATAAACAGTTGTAAAACAATGTCACCTGACAACTTCAGTAGGTCGAATAAAGCAGCTCAACTTTCAGAAAGAAGACAAAGTAATAAGTTTGACGGGGTTGTTCAACTAAACTCTAATCCTAAACACCATAATTTTGAAAATACGTCTAATCATAAAATTCTAGATACTAACAGTTTGAACAGACATGAAGGTGTGATGTTAGATGACGCATAGGAAATCCTGATTAATAAATAAGAATGGATATGTATCACTAACTAATAATACTTGGTCAAAGTTTCCCGACTGTCTATATCTACTCATGGAGACGTTAAGACATTGTTTTACAACTGTTTATCCGCACACACACACACACTCACACACTGTGTTTAAAGTGTTTAACAAAGGTAGATCAATATTTGTAAGTCTGAGGTCAAATTTTGATCACAACTCGTACAATTTTGTTTATTATACTTGTTAATACTTGTTTTATGAATCATGATTGGACAAAGTTTTTAAAAACAAGAGATGTCCCCCTTTTTATAATACAAACCTCTGTTATGTTAATTTCAATTAATTTCCCTGAAGAAGTTCGGACCAGATTGACGAACACGGGAAACGTTGGAACTACTCATTTCAATATCGCTGAGATTTTACAAATATAATTTTTTACAAATGTCTACTTCTCACTCGGCACCCAAATATTATAGAACTATTCTGTCAAATCTTGACTACAGGTACATCCAGTTGACGAGTCCCGAATAGGACGAAACGCGCTCTATCGTGGATTCTACTCCTAGTCACCATCCACCAATTATAAATACAACCATTGAGCCACTGGTCCTATCCAAGCAGTTAACCTGGGGTTCTAGTGGGAAGCTGTGACCAATAGGGTACAGCAGGTGAAAGATGAGGCAGTAACTCATCGAAGAAGACATTGCGAAATTGTTGCACTGTGCCGTGAATTGGCAGAAGTTAGAATTCAAGAATCATTGGATCGGGTCCCAGTGGCTCAATGGTCTACGAGCTAGCTTGCTCGCCTTGTAACCAGAAGGTCCTGTGTTCGATCCCCGGTGGGTCCCTACTGCCGAAGAGTCCCACACCAGGACGAAACAGCTGTCCACTACTCCCAGCTGGTTTCCCAGTGGTTCTCTAACTGATGTCAGCTCATGATGAATTCCTCTAACCAATCAAACAAAATCCCTACAAAACCAGTACTTGAGTATTCCATTGGTTGGTCATAGAATCTACCATAAATATATGCAATTGTACAGCTCGAGAATGATGTCGCCGAAAACAGGAGTAACTCTTCATTGAACGCTTTTTTTTTATATGAAACAAGTACCAATAACAACTAATGAACACCAATTTTTCAATTACTGTGTATTGCGGCTCGTTAGCGTGCTAAATAAAGTTTTGATACTTTAAAGCTGTATGAGATGTCAATGTCACAAGGATGCTTAACATTTCCTTACTGCTACATTCACCTGTTTTTACAAAATTGTGCTGAATATGTCTAAACTCCCTTCACTAGACACCAACGATTAGATTTATTTACAGAATGTCTTTACCTACTGACAATATGTACAAGTAGTATATTTAAGTAGTGCAAAAAATAAACCGGTTACTTAGCATATACAAATCCAATTTAGGAAAATGGTAACATTTTGAGCGACTGTACGAATTTGACATGCTCTGTGGATGAAACAAGCAGGATTTAAACATTATTGCGGAGCTAGTGTGAAGAAATCCAGGAAATAAAGTGTGTGTGCTCGAAGGCGTCGTTAATTTCCATCGGTCGAAATGCTGTCCGTGTTTCTGCGAATTGGATTATATGTGTGTAACAGTGAAAAATAAAATCTGCTCAACACATATGCAGGAGATGGATCGGGCATACATCGAGGAGACTGTCGAATGACATCGCGCGCAGTATACAGGCCATCGCTCGAGTGGAATCCCAATGGGAAACAATGAGTAGGTCGTCAATGCGAGGGTAACATGGAGGACATCGTCTGTTAAAGAGGAGGTGAGAGATTGTGGACAATGATGGTGGGCCTGGCCAACTGAAGAGGACGGTAGAAAAACAGTACAAAGTGGAGATGTGCTACTGAAGTCTTATGTTCCACTCGGAACTTAACGTGGTGTGCTGCTGCACACAGTGCAACCGTTTATCTTTATTTAGCTCAATGTGAGATAAAAATGTTTGTAAAGAGAACAATTTGGCACAATAATTAAAGCTTTCTTTTTTTTTCTCTGTGTTAGTGAGTGTGTGTATGTGATTTCGTGCATCTGTCAATTAAACAAAAATAAATTTAAAAAAATAACTAAATTAGCCAAATTAATTTATTAAATAGTTAAAATATAATATCTCAAGTTATTATTGTTGGTAGTGAAAATGATGGTAGTGACCATATAATTCTGTGTAGAAGGGGCATTTTGTCGATAGATTTTGAGGCCATCTACTACCATCTTGTTGTTGTTTGTTACAATGTGAAATATTTTCCCCTCTCCCCTCCACCCTCGCCTCTTCATTTAACTACTCCACTTTGTTTTTCTCATTTTTCACTATGACCTTAAAAATACAAAAGGAGAGGCATGTATATGTGTGTGTATAAGGGCCATAATTCTGTTTTTAACCTCAAAAATATTCCTTTCTCTAAACAAAAATTCCCTCACTTTATTTTATTGTTTATTCAACTTTGTTAAATATGCGTGGGTGGATGGGTGTGTGGGTGGGTGGTAGGTTAGTGATTGCACCGTAGGCGGGGCGGGGGAGGATCTGTATGTATTTCTATAACATACACCTGTCTAATTAATGTGTGTAACTTTTACTCTCCCTTTCTCTTTTTTTTGATACAATTAACTCATAAACAATTTGGTCATCCTTTTCCTTAAAAATATTTATTTATTTATTTTTATTGTGATAATAAAACTTTCAACTCACTCGCATTGTGTTTACACATTCCTGTGTGTGTGTGTGTGGGGTGGGGTGAAGGGGGTTGGATGGGTGGGTGGAACAACAATACACAATCAACTATCCTTTTTATGATAATTTATATTTTGCATGATTTATCACTTTCTTTCCTTTCCTTTTCTTTTTTTTGTACACATGTGTGTCTTGGAAAGTGTTGCTGTGTTAGGCATACCTTCTTCTTCTTATTAATTTTTAAGCCCTCTGGGTTTTTTTGTATTCATTGCATTGTTGTATTTTTTTGTATTGTTATTGTATTGTCTTTCCTCATACACCACATTTTTCTCTTTCGTGATATGACTGACCAAAAGAGTGATTAGAGGTCAAAAGGTTGTGAAATTCAGAGAGAGAGAGAGAAAGAGAGGTATTCATATTTCTACACATTTCTTTCTTCTTCTGTCGTTGTCGTTGTTTAATGAATGTGACTTTATTTATTTTGAGGTAAACATTTTTTACGAGTTGATCACGGATTGATATCAGTTAGAGAACCATTGAAAACCAGGGAGTACTGGACAGCTGCTGTTTCATCCTAGTTTGGGAATCTTCGGCAGTACGCACGTACTGGGTTTCGAACCCAGGACCTTCCGGTTACAAGGCAAGCTCAATGGTTCTCTAACTGATATCA